GTCAACTGAAGGCTAGTGGAGCCTGGAGCACTTGAGGCTGAGTCTCACACCTTGCTGATGTGTGAAGGTGCTGTGAGGCAGGGCTAGTGTCTGTAGGATCTGGAAGTTTAGGAAGAGGGCACACAGGAGACTCTTTTATTTTTATGTGTGTGCTTCACCATGCATATGAAGGTCAGAGGACAGCTTACTTGATTTATTTTCTTCTGCTATGTGGGCTCTGAGGATGGAACCTGGAGGTTGTCAGGCTTAGTCAGCCTTTACCCGTGGAACAATCATTCAGACCCAGGACTATGCTTTAAATAATTGTCCTGCTCATGCGTCTCAGCTATAACTTCAGGGCCAGTCCTGGGAGCAGCTGAACTAATGGCTGGTAGTGGTCTTCAGACCGAAGAGTCAGTAGAAGCTGAATCGAGGCCAAGGCTTGCCAGGACTGTCTGTGTATAGTTAGGACGTATGGGAGGAGAGCAGGGATCTCTTTCAGGTCCTATTAGTCAAGTTAAAAATGGAGTGTGGGAAGGCTGGAGAGATGGAAGGGGAGTGTGAAGGTTAAGAACAGTGAAAGCCAAATTACACTATATTGGGGGCTGGGTAAAACAAGGTGTGCTTGAGTCTGGGAGAAGCCCTTGTTGAGGACTGGGTTCTGAGCATACCAGGGGGTACAGCACTCCTGGGTCCTGTGGATAGGCAAACTTGGGAAGGTATGTAGATTGCTACCTAGAACTCAGTACAATTTACTATCCCCTGCTCCTGTAGGTACCCAGATGGAGGTGTGCTGTTTCCTGGCCTGTGTTCTGTGTGGGTTCATAGCAATTTCTAGAACTCCTTGGCCCTTCCCCTGCTCTGAGCTTACAGTTGAGCAAACTAACTGCTGACCTTGTAGGCTTCCTGATGGGCTACTACCCCTCTCCTTTGGTATGGTACTCCTTGAGATTTTTATGATTTGGGGTTGGGAACACAGTTAAAATGCCCCTTGCCCCATCTTCTGTTTCTTGGATGTAAAGATGAATATCTGAGCAGAAGGGAGTCAGCACTGCAGCGGACTCTGAGCTCCAAGTGAGGTCCCCTCTCACCTGGGTACACAGGACTAGATCCAGGGAGGGGAGCACAAAAGAATGCCCACAGGGTGACCAGAGCTCGGGAAAGAGGAGTAAGGGACAGGGTCGGGGTGGGGACAGGGAGTGGTGGCTGATGCCAGAGATGTGTCATGAGTATTGGAAGAGTGGATTTCTGGGTTGCGATACCTTTGCTATTCCTTATCCTTAGTTTGTCTTTGGAGAGACGACAGAGCCTCTCTGTCTTTGAGCTGCACTGGCACAGTGTCCATCCTCTTCGTTCGTCTCTTTCCTGTTCTGTTTATTTATTGTATCTTAGTTGGGGTTTCTATTACTGTGATAAAGCACAATGACCACAAGCAACTTGGGCAGGAAAGGGGTTACCTCATCTTTATAGAAACGCTTAGCCTACTCCATTGTTGAGGGAATTCAGCATCAGGAACCTAGAGGCAGGAAGTGATGTAGAGGCACTGGAGGAATGAATGCTTCTTGCTGGCTTGGCTTGTTCAGTCTGATTGCCTGTAGCGCCCAGGACCACTGCCCGGGGGTGTCACACCTACATTGGGCTGGGTCTTCCATCAGACAGCAATCAACAAAAAGTACCACAGTCCTGCCCGCAGGCCAGTCAAGTGGGGGCATTTTTTTTTCAATCAGGGCTCCTTCTAAATTAACTACCTTGTATCATGTTGACATTAAAAACTAGTCAGCACAGTCAGCCCCTTGTCAGCGTAACACATAATCATATTACTTTTAAAGTAATCTTTTTTTTCTTGTCCATCTCCAAGATCTCATTTTAATGTTAACTTCACAATACAAAACTTTTCAGTCTTTACAAATACTTTAAAATTCAGTTTCTTTAAAATATCCAAAGCCTTTTTAGAAGTTCAAGCCTCTAAAATATCCATAGTCCCTAAAACTCAATTGTCTCCTGTAAAAGCAAAATAAGTTAAATACTTTCTTATTCCAAGAAGGCAGAGTAGGGCAGAGTTGCTCCAAGCAAAACCAAAGTCCAAGAGTGTAAAGCTCAGTGTCCGAGTTCTGGAATTCACCCAGGATCTTTTGGGTTGCCCCAGAGGGCTTGAACAGGCCCCCACAGCCCACACACTTGTTTCCTAGGCTTAGGCTGGCTTCACTGTACAGCTGCTGATGTCCTGGGGCCAAGCCAGCTCAGTCAGTCAACAGGGTCACGAGGGGAGGAGTGAGGATTAAAGAAAGAAAAGACAACTAGACAACATTATATTATGATCCCAGCAAGTGCTGAGGCAGGTTTGCTTTCTTCAGTCTGCTTTTATACCATTCTAGGTACATGCAAAAAAAGGGTCAGTCCTAGGTCAGAGACAAAGTAGTCAAGGAACAAACAAGGCATAAACAAAGTCCCATGGTCACTATGTCTAGGTGTATATGAGGATGACCAAGACACAAGAAATATAATATATTCCTCAGCTGTACTCATCTTGAGCCTTGTGCTAGCCCAGTGTAAATCTTGTTGCCGAGATCCTTGAAGCAGCATCAAGAGCTGCATTGGGATCCACCTTTACCAATAACCTCTCCTGGGTAGTCCTTAGGGACTCTAACCCTGCCCTATTGTTTCCCAGCTTCCACTTCTCTCAGGACTCATTCAGTCCCAGGCCTTCTACCCAATGAGGCTGCGACTCCTCCGCAGCCTCCTCTATCCCCACAGATCCACCTGGAAGAGACTCTAACACATCATCAAGGTTGGTTGCAGCTTGAGGAGCTCCTTGGCTCCTTCTGGGCTACAGCTTCTGTGTACTGACCCCAAGGAAGTATTCCCTGAAGATTGGCTTCACTGATGCTGATCTCTTGGTAATCACAGCCCCGGCTGATCAGTATCAATTGTACCAGCAAAGCAAAGGTTTCACTTTAGTGGTTAATACAAAATATCGCTTGACCGGCCGATCGTCTTTGCTTCCCTCAGAAGCTTGACAGGCCAGTGCTTTGTTTGTCTATACTGCTAGCAGTGTTATCTTCCAGCTCTACAGAAGCCTGCTGAGCCCTGAGGATACAGTGGCTTTTCCAGCCCAAACTTGAGGTGTTAACACAGTCCACCCTAAAACATGATCTTGTTTGTCACAGCAGTACCCCCTGACCTTGTACCAGCTTATGTCTCAGTTAGGGTTTCTACTGCTGTAGTAAACATCACCAAAGGCAGCTGTGGAGGAAAGGATTTGTTTCGTCTTACAGCTTTTCCATCATCCAAGGCAGTCAGGGCCTGGAACTGTGGGCGTGGGCTGATTTGGAAGTCATGGAGAGTGCTGCTTTGTGTCTTGGTCCCAGTAATTTGCTCAGCCTACTTTCTTATAGCACCCAGACCCACCAGCACACGGGTGGCACCGCACACAGTGAGCCGAGCCCTCCCACATCACTCATGAAACAGGATAATGCGGCACAGGCTTGTCCACACACAACCCAGTCAGGTGGGGGCATTTTCTCAGTTGAGGTTTTCTCTTCCACAAGGACTCTAACTTGTAAAGTTGATCTCAAAACCAGCCAGTGCAGTTGGTCATTATTAGCTGGAAGCAGTCCTGTGCCCTGGAGAGGCAGACAGCTGGCTCCCCAAAGAAAACCCAACAGCCAGGACAGTCTGGTTTCTATGTGGGTAGGTGCTGTGCAACGGGCTGGCATGTGCTGTTCTGTCGTGGGTGGGCTCTCTGTCCTGTGTCAGTGTTTAGGACAAGGGCTCCTGTCTTTACCTCATGGCTTGCTAGCAAGCAGTAAGAGGACAAAAGTACCTTTGTGGGATGGAGCACCATATGTGTGCACTGTATAGTCTGTGTCTGTCTGGGAAAGTGCTGGGTGTGCCTCGGGCCTCTCCAGCCAGTGTAACACCCACACTGTCCTCTACAGATCAGGCCGCACATTGCGACTCTTCGAAAGTACACCTATGGCAAGCACATCCTGGCCAAGCTGGAGAAGTACTACATGAAGAATGGCGTGGACTTGGGGCCCATTTGTGGTCCCCCTAATGGCATCATCTGAGCAGTGCACCCATTCCTGTCCCGCTGACCTCACTGACCCTGGCAGATCCAACCAGCAACCAGAGGTGCCCAGCTCAGAGTCGGAAGTGGGTAACGGTTGCTCTGGGATTGCTCCCTCCTTGAAAAACGGAATCAGATCCACTTGTGGAAAGGCCTTTGTAAATTTCATTTTATTACACATAACATGTACTAATTATTTTTTTTAATTGACTAATTACCCTGCTGTTTACTGGTGTATAGGAACTTGTACATAGGTGATCAGTGTACATGGGAGGCCACATGCTTTGTTCAATGTTGTATCTATATTCCACATGTGGACACTTTCAGGGTGGTTGGTTTAACAAAAAAAGTTTTACAAAAAAGACAAAAAAAGGTTTTTAACTCATTTGCCTTGTGGCAAGTTTTGCAAATAGCTCTTCCCCACCTCCTCATTTTATTAAAAAAAAAAAAACCTGAGAAATTTGAATTTTAGTTAAATGATCTCAAACTGGCATTTAACACTGTTTATAAACTATATATATATATATACATATATACATATTTGAAATGGGAGCGTTTCAGAGTTGCTAAAGCATCAGCCTGTGATACGGAGTTGATGACCTCGTGCTGAGAGAGGTGGTCGCTGCCGATCCAGGAGGAGCGGGAACCACAGAGGCCCAAGGCCAGTGGGCATGGCCACTTGCTGCCTATGGGTTGCCTTCTGTGGACACTGGGAAGCAGAATTTGATTATCTAGCATGAGAGAATATCCAGCTCTGCTCCTGGTCTGGCTTCTATAGATACATAGTGTATACTTGTGTAGACTTTGCATATATACGGATTTGTAGTATTTTCCTGTTTTGATGTCTAATCTGTATCTATAATGTACCCTAGTAGTCGGACATACTTTTGATTGTACAATTGTACATTTGTATACCTGTAATGTAAATGTGGAAAAGTTTGAATCAACATGAACACGTTTTTTGGTAAGAAGAGAATCAGCCAGCTGTGCACTCTGTATATCCCGCCTTTTATGGTCGTAGCAGATAGTGTTGTATATTGTAAATTGTAATTTCAACCAGAAGTAAATTTTTTTTCTTTTGAAGGAATAAATGTTCTTTATACAGCCTAGTTAATGTTTAAAAAGAAAAAACTAGCTTGGTTTATTTGTCAGCTAGTCAAGACGGTAGTGAGAGCTTTCTAAATGTTATTCAGATGATTCAGTTCACACTAGTGTTTTGGTTTTTTTTTTTTTTAAATCCTAAGAAAAGGTAATGTTTCACTTATTTTGTGACAGTCAAAAAGGATGTGCAGAAGTTCCGCCTGCCCCTTCCCGCTCAGCGCCTTCCCCTGTAAAGTGACTCGCCCTCCGTTTTGTACAGATGAGCTGTATTTTGCATTTTGTCTACTTGTAAGTGAATGTAACATACTGTCAATCCTTGTTTGCATATAGACTGTAACACTACACGGTGTACATTTCCAGAGCCTTGTGTATATTTCCAATGAACTTTTTGCAAGCACACTTGTAACCATATGTGTATAATTAACAGACCTGTGTATGCTTATGCCTGGGCAACTATTTTTTGTAACTCTTGTGTAGATTGTCTCTAAACAATGTGTGATCTTTATTTTGAAAAAAATACAGAACTTTGGAATCTGAATTTGTTTGTACCTCTCTCACTTCTCAAATTTGCTGAGGCGAGCCCTGCTCCAGCCTGCCTTTGTTGCTCTTGGAATGGCGAGGAAGGGTGGAGGAGTGGGGTAGGGTTGGGGTGGGTATCAGGCTGATGGCTTCTGAGCCTAATTTGACCTGAGAGGTTGAGTTCAGTTTGCCTCATGTCTGATTTTTCAGTGTTTTGTCTTTTCCTGGGGATAGACACACACACACACATGCACTCACGCACGCACTCACACCCCAGAAAGGTAACCGGTCTGGCAGACTGGGTGAACCAGTGAATTTTTATAGTGTCATTAATGAGGAATTACTCACAACTGTATCACTTCCCCCTCACTCCCCCACCCCCCGCCCCCGAAGCTGTAGCCTGGGGCTCTCTGCAGAGTTGCACAAATTTCTCTGAGCAGTTGCACAGTCAGAGCCTTTAATACAAGCTGGGGAGATACCTTGAGAATCTCCCCAGTTTCTGCTTTCCTAAACATGAGCTTTTGTTCACCTCCTGGTCGCAGAAGCCTCCCCTCTTGGGAGGGACTGTTTCAATTAAGAGAAAATTGCCTGACAAGCTGGGTGTGGCGGCTTCAATCCTAGCAGAGGGAGGCAGCAAGTTCAGGGCCAGCCTGATCTATAGCTTGAGTTCCTGAACAGCCCGGGCTGCACAGAGACCCTGTCTTGAAAACCAGATTTAGAGAGGGAGAGAACTCTCGGCTTGCTCAGAAATCCTCAGTGCAGGTCTCATGCACCTCTCTGCAAGTCTGTGTCCATGGCTGACCGCCCTGTCCTGCTGACCATCCTGCAGGGTTTTCATTTTGGCTTCTGGCATTTTTGGCATTGGGAAGTATCCTTTCTAAGACTGACAACTCTCTTACCTGGGAACGCCCATTCAGGCTATCCCATGCTCTGACTACCCTCACATTGAGAACCTATGGGCTCACAGTAGTTCCTGTCCTCAGAATGTCCACCCTTCCTCCACCCAGCTATTCGTCAAGAGTCACCTTTGACAAAAATTGACAAAGGTTGGTTGAGCCAGGAAGACCAGATGGGAGGCCACAGAATCTGGGATTTCACCTGGCCTCCAGTGTGTTGGGGGCCTCTAGTCAGTGGTTGCCATCCAGCCTTGGGGACAGAAAAGAGAAGTGATGGTTTGCAGTTGAAGGCCTGATTCTGCTTGAACAGTTGGAGTTGGGCCGTGCCCTGGCTTTGTTGTATGTGCTGAGGGGAGGTGGCAGGTGGCTGATGCCTGTGTTTTGGGACATCTCTGGGTTCTCATTACCCTCTGCATTTGCTTGTTGTTGCTTGATTTGGGTTCTTTAGCGTTTCAGTGCAGAAGCATGTATCTGAAACCCTGCTGGAAAGGGGATGGTCTCTAATTCCAAACCTTGCATGTGTGAAGAGTCTTCAGAATCAGGATTAAATGGAGCTTTTAATCCTCCCATGCCCCATCCCAATTCTCTGTAAAAGGGGAAACTACCTGAATACTAATAAGCACTTTGAAAAGGAGTTGTGTAGATTGAGATTTTGTAACTGAGTAGTACCCAATACATGTCACAAGCAACATTTCCATATTCCCTATTTACTGTTGGAGACTTCATTTTAATAGTTTCTGGATAGAGACTGTACGGAGCCCCCCACCCACTCGGTGGCTACGCACAGAGCATAGACTATCTTAGGGATTCACAAGCTTGTCATCTCAACCCTAAGAGGCCAAGGCAGGAAGATGGAAAGTTTGACCTTAAGCTACAGTAACCAGAGTGTTTCAGAAGCAGAAAACAAAGCCAACTGAGCCAGTGCATATTCATAAATCCCAACACTTGGGAGACAAGAGGTTTAGGAGTTCAAGGTCATGTTGGCCACACAGTGAGCCAGAGTGACTGCATGAGATCCTGTCGCTGCACAGGAGTTTGGAGGACCTTTCCCAGTCCACCCTTACCTTACAGCCTTTCGGAGACACATTTTATTTGGTTGGTTACGTCTCTTCTTCCCATCACATGGTGGGTACATCTGGCTTTACACGGGCTTTATCCTCATGTTTGGCACGCTTCACACTGAGCTACATCCCAGCCTGAGACCCGTCTTAACAAACAAAAGCAAATCCAGGAGAGGAGGAGTTCTTAAGCAAAGAAGTCTGTCCAATGCAATTCACTGAACACAAACAGCCGGCGGGGCTCCAGAAGGTAGCTCTGGAATGTCCATTTCAGATTCAAAAGCCAAGGTTCCACACATGAGACACTGTATGAGATCCTTCCTCCACAGGTCTGTTTGGAGCAAGCTGGGTTCCAGGCTGTGTCCACCTTGAGACATCCAGGAGGAAGTCCAGATGTTTCAGCCCATATTGCAGAAGAGATGAAACTCAGGCTTGGTATACATTGAAAACCAAGCCAGGGTTTTTTCTAGGTCTCCTGACCTCCTGGATCCAGTGCTGTTTATTATATCTGGCTTGGCCAATTACCTTTAGGACCTAGATTGCTACCTTTTAGAGTTGTATCAGGGGCTTGTGAGAGGGCTCAGTGAGAGTACAGGTGCTCGCTGCCAACTCTGGTGATGGAGTTTGGTCCCCAGAACCCACATGGTGAAAGAAAGAGAACTGGCTCCCCCGAGTTGACCTCTGACATACATGTACACTGTGGAACAAACATGCACATGCACCCACAATGTATGTACATGAACATACACTGCTATTCCAGAGGACCCAAATTTAGTCTCAGCACCCAAGTAAAGAGCCTCATAACTGCCTGTGACTCCAGCTTCATGGGATCTGAAGCCTTCATCTGGACTCCAGGGACACCCTTGTATACACAGACACACTGAGGTGGCAGAAGACTGGAGACATTGAGGTGGCAGAAGACTGGAGTTCAATACCCAGCACTCCCGTGGCAACCTCAGAACCATCCCAACTCCAGTTCCAGGTAATATGATGCTGTCTTCTGGCCTCTTTAGGCACCATATACATGCAGTGCAAGGACAGACGTGTGGTCAAAAGATCTACAAATAAAATGGAAAATAGTAAATTACAAAACCTCCAAAAGAGCTGCGCAGAATTCACCGATCAAGTCGCAAGAAACTTGTGACTTCTGGTAGTTCTCAGCTCCGGTCACATGAGGGCGCTGCTGCCTAAACCAAACACTCAGGAGTCTCCAGGGAACCGGGAGTTAAGGCCTAGCTTTCAAGACTTTCAAGTGAGGTTTGTTTCTTCCTCACTCCTCCCCAGGGGTCCCCAGTGTGCATGGCCATACCTTCACCATCTGGGGGTAGGAACCCAAGCTCACACATCTGGCTCAGATCCAGCTTTGATTTGCTCTGTGACCCCCGTGGAGCCTTGGCCTGGGAAAGACCCAGCCCCGTAGCTACCCACTCCAGCTGCTCACTCCCTTACCCTGAGAGCTATCTCAGCCTGTCTCTCAGTTTCAGGCAGAGTGACTCCCAAACACTTGCCAGCCCCCTGCAGTGGTGGTCACATCCACCTCTGTGCCATCACTTGGATTCTGAATATCAGGAAGTGGTGGCTCCAGGACTCAACCCTAAGCCTGTCCTGTGTTTCCAGGTCCCCCCTCCCAACCTCCGTCTAGGCAAGGGGGACACAGGTCCGCTGGAGACAGAACAGGGCGGCCCCCACCTGAGGGCAGCTACAAGTTACTGCCTCCTTGTGACCTCCCAGGGGAGATTTCTGCCTCAACCAGAGTGGGGTTCAACAGTGGTGAGGCTGGATGCCAGTTTCACAAGACACCCCCCCTAAACCTAATCCCAACAACAGCTGTGTGAGAGCATGGCCAACAGTCAAGCTGCACAGCCCAGGGGGGAGTCAGGGTTCCCTGCCCTCAGCTCCAGACTCAAGATGGGGTGAGAAGGGAAAGTATTTTTAGGAAGGTTTTTGTTCTTTTGGGTTTTTTTTTTCCCTTCCAGGAAAATGACTTTTAATGTGCAATTTATTCCCAGAAGCTTGGGTGTATGGAGAGGCTTCTGAGGAAACACCCCTCCCTTCTCCTTCCCTCCCCCCCCCTTTCTTCTCCCTCTCTTGCCCCTCATTTCCTGTCTTTTCTTCCTCCTCTTAATACTTTCCCTATCCCATCTCCCTCTTTCTGCCCCTCATCTCTCCTTCCCCAGTCAGTCCTTGGGTCCCCAACACAGGAAAGAAGACAGGTGTGAGCCTAGGTTAGTCTAGTCCTAGCTTCCGCACAGCTTTCCTAGTTCTGTGTCCTCAGTCAGGGTCTTGGGCAGAGGTGACCAGGTCCAAAGAGTTTACAGATCAGGGGCTGGTAAGACGTGGACAAGGCTAGCAGATCATCTAAGAGGAGACCCCAGGATGAGGAGCCGTCCAGTCCCCAGCTCAGCCACAGACTGTGTTGGCATGCCACCTGTCACCTTCCTCACTGTCCACTCCTCTCCTTTCTCAGTGTGAAGCAGACAGATGAAATTGCCTGGGCAGGGCAAGGCAAGCTGCTTTGGACAGGACAGTGGAAAATGAGTTGCCATGGCCATGCCACACCTTTGGGAGACGGGCCCGTTCTGGTGTGAGTTTATATAAGGTGGGAACAATAACCTGGAGCGCAGTGGCCCTCTGCAGTCGGGTAGCTGCCCCAGCCTCAGAGGGGAGACCGTTTCTCTGAGTCACCTGTACTAGGGGCTTTTGAGTGAGTTACCCATGCTCCTATGAGTCACCTCAAGCTGGGCTCACATGGGGTTGTTCTGTGGTCTGTTGAGTCCCGTCTGGATCAAAAAGGCACTTCTGTCCATCTCTCAAGGAAAAGACAACGCTTAATGTAGGATTCTTAGATAGAAGCTGCCCCTGCCTCTGCATGAACAGAATGTCAGGACAAAGCTCCAGGTCATACTCTAGGCAGCTTCAGAGCACTTGTCTGCCCCGACCTCCTAGGAGATGTCACTGCTAGGAAGACCTCCTAGATTTCCCCAGGGGGAAGCCTCATCCTGGCACCAGGCTGGGTCTAAGGATCTGTTCAGACATGAATGGCTGTCGAAACAGCATGGCCACAG